TCCCTCCCTTCCTCCCTTCCCTCCTTCCTTCCCCCTTCCTCCCTCCCTTCCCTTCATTCTGTCTTCCCTCCCTCCTTTCTCTCTCCCTTCTTCCTTCCTTCCTTCCCTCCCTCTTCCCTCTCTCCCTCCTTCCTCTTCCTCTCCTCCTCCCCACTCTCTCTTTCAGGATAGGAAACACTTTCTTCAAACCAAATATTACACTCTCAAGATCAAAAGCAGGTCAAATTGGTGACTCAAGCTACCTGTTTGTGAGCTCAGATTTATAATGTCGCCAGAAATCGCTTAGAACAGAAGCAACCCAGTTGGATTAGGTAACTGTCACTTGTGACTGCTGACCCGGCCTGCAGCCATATGAGGCCCTGGCCTTCAAATACCCAGTATAACATGGACCACACTTTGCAGGGGACAGCAGGGCCCTTGCCCAGTGCCCAGCCCAGCGGCAGGCCTGGATCTGTCCCCGTTCCCACAGGCAAAGCTTCTACCCCAAGCAAGTGGAAGCATCCCTTTTCCTCGTGGCTGAGGTGGTCACTCGCCTCCCAGCTCAGCTGAAAAGCAGCCTTCTGCCCACCGAGACCCCCACGCAAGAGCGGCGAAATGCTATTCAGTCTCTCACACGTGGTACCATCAGCATGTCAGTTCCCTGATGGGTCCGGGGGTGTCCTGAGGACGGGTGGGGCTTCCCACTGGTGTGTAGATACACACATATGCCACCTGGCACACCGTCCTTAATCTGTCCTAGTAAAGGGTAAATAAACAAAGGTGATGATATTTTATAATATAATTTGCTGCCATTGGGGAGCTGGGAAAAAATTAAGGCTTTTCATCCGTGTTTTCTCAGAGTGGCTTGTCTGAGTGAGACGTTAAACGGAAACGAATTCCCGGGGACCACAGCGGCTCAGTGTGGAAGAGAGATGCTCCCGGGGGCTCAGAGCAAGGCCCAGGTCTGCGTCATCTGTGAAAAACTAGCCTGTTGTTTCCCAAATACACAGCAACACTGCCTGGAGAGGAAGGAAGGCCCGGCACAAATGGCACTGCCACGAACCATGAACAAATGGAAGAAATTCTGGTTTAATAAAATGTAAATTTCATTCCATAAAACCCCTTAGCGCACAGCTCAGGAAACAGCAGCAGGGGCCGTGATTGCCTCTGTTTGGAAAACGCTAGGCGCCTACCCAGCTGATTTGTTTTTACGCCCGTCACTGTCTGATCAAAACAGGACAGAGCAAATCTCATTGTGCCCTCGCCCTCTGTCCCCTGCCCTGCCTTCCTTACCCAGAATGACACCGTTGGGCTCCTCCGGAGGCTGCCACACGATCCTCACGGTGGTGAGCCTCACTTCGGGGAACACCAGCCTCACTGGGGGACCCGGGGCTGAAAGAAAATAAGTAGGATTCCAAGGTCACAGTGACATTGGGCTGTGTCCACTGAACTGGAGCTCGGATTCCTTCACTATGTTTGACACCTGCAGAGCAGGGTGAGCCAAGGTGGCCTCGAGTTCCTTCTAACTCGGACTGGATGACATGGCATGATGACAGCCAAAGCTCGTCACCCCGTCCCCACCCTGTCCTCCCACGTGAAGAGCCAATGGGCACAGAGCGTAATGACTACTCTGCGTGCGTCGGTGCCCAATAATTCAAAAAGCAGTTATGTCGTGTGGAACCGCTGAATAATGGGGTCACGGCCCTCGTAAAGCCCATCGCTTAAACGGATGGGCTTGCCGGTGAAGGCTGTTCCTTGGACCTAACCGTGGATCGATTCCCAGGGAAGAAGCGATCGAAGTAGAAATGGAACGTGTGTGACACCGCCATTCGTGGCGGTGAATTCTGCCTCTAGCTTATGAGGCCGAGAACAGTATTTTAAGTTTTGAACGTGTCTTATGACACCTGTGTGTGGGGAAAATAAATGCCCGAAAGAGGCCAGAGGCTCCCAAGCCAGGACTAATTCATAAATACGAAAGCCGTGACATCAGTGTTAGTGGCATTGACCTTGTGAACCACTGCTGGGTCAGGTCAAAACAGGAGAAGGGGAGACTTTTGTACGAGGCCCGTGAGAGAAAGGGAAGGTTCCGGAGTGGCCACCTTGTCCTGAGGAAGACCAGGGCCTTGGGCCTCGTGTGGAAGACAGTTTCTAAAGTGTCCCTCTGTCTTTTCATTTGAGTCACCCAGAGCATGCCAGACTACGAAATACTGTCCACTTCTAAGTCCTCTGGGAGTCCCCAAAAGACGGGGAAAATGCCAGGAGGCCCCCCCACAGCTCCTGAGCTGTCTGACAACGCAGAGGCGGCTTCTTTCCATGGGGTCAGCCACAGCTATGTGGCCTCATTCGTCACTTTGGGAAGACACTCGTGAGAACCTACAGCTGTCTCGCTTGCCTCACACACCGAGGTGGGCATTTGGGGGCCTCGGTATTTCCCCCGACATATTCGAGACAGCCTGTTCAGTAATGAAAACGCAAACGCGCTAACCTTTCAAGCCTGGCACCTGCAAGACAGAAACACAGACTTCCTCACGATCTAGACTTCCAGCAACACACAGCCGGCAAGACGTGCCTGTTAGTCAGTCTGGAGACACCAGGGCCTGGGGACCCGGGGCCGTCGCACACCCCGCTCTCCGTGGGAACTGTAATTACCTCTCGTGATGACAACACGGGGCTGCCAGTCCCACGAGAAGTGGGCACGCAGGCCAGAGCGGAGTTTTAACTAGGTTTGTGCAGCTGTCCTGGGAAGGGACATCTCAGCCTGGCCCTCTCGCCTGCACCTGCACGGCCCAGGGCCCAACCGCGCTGAACTTCTGCATAGGTTCAAAGCCAGGCCATAAAACCCCCGCTCCGGGCTGCAGCTGGCCGTGTACCTGCGCAGTGACTGCGAAACAATTTTGTTTTGCTTCCCTCCGTGGTTGGGACAGACATTGAAAGTGAGCCCAGTCCGCACTGTTCGGACTGGAAGAGCAAAAGGCCGGGAGGGGGGCGAGGCGGGCTCGGCCCGGCCACACACGTACCGTCGTCTTTGGTGCGCTCGAGGACGAGGGGCGAGCTGGGGACCCCGTTCCCGATGCGGGTGAAGGCCAGCACCTGCAGCTCGTACAGCACGAACTTGCGCAGGTCCCCGAGCAGCGCCGACCGCGTGTGGTTCCCACGCACCAGGTGGCTGCGGGGCTCGGCTTCCAGGTCTCTGGCTCGGTACAGGATCTGAGGTCGCACACAAACGCAGATGGTGAGGCCCCGCCGGCGCCAGGGACGGCCTCTGTGGGCACGGGGACCGCGCGAGGACCAACAGCTGTGTTTTCTCCGTGGGGGATCGATGTCTAGGTGGTGGCATTGCGGGGGAGGATGGAGATGAGGCCATTGTTTTCCAGAAGACCCACCAGCTTGCAGGGTCTGAAGCCCTCGGCTGCTGCAGCCGTGCCAGCCCTGTGCGCTGAGGAAGGACTTAGGCTTGAGCGCAGACATTCTGCTTCCTCTGTGAAAGAGGGTTCCTCCCTCGGGACACTGATGTCTGTCTCCAGGTGGCCCTCAAACCCTGTGCCATCCAGGCATGTGACATGTTCCCCCACACCTTCCTCCCACTCTTAGCCCCTAGGTCCTCCCTCTGAGCTTCCCCTCTCTGCACCATTCCCTGCGATAGTGGCCTGGAAACCCATAAAGGACAGAGTTATCAGGGAGGACCTTGAAAATGGCGCAGCCAGCATTTGTCTCTGGGACCCAGCAGTGTGGCGTGGAGTTCTGGTTACTGAAACGGCTCAATAGGATGGCCCAGTAACACGGGACTGAGAAGTGTCAGGGGACTGTCATGTGTCCTGACACTGCCATGCCTTCTGGGTTGTCATGTGACATGGGATGGCTGTATGTTGTGGGACTGTCATGTATTGTGTACTTCCATACACGTATCATATGTCACAGGGCTGTCTTGTATCTTGGGATTGACATGCTTCATGGGGCCAGAGGGAGCAATTTGAACACCCAGGGAAGAGGTAGGACATATGAGAACAGGTGGGGAGAAATAAGGAACAGAGGGCTGAACGATGGAGACAGAGAGGAGACGTGTTCAAAACCCACAGAGCAAAGCTGGGCATGGTGGCTCATGCCTGTAATCCCAGCTAATCAGGAGGCAGAGGATCACAGTTCCAAGCCAGCCCCGGCAAATAGTTTGCAAGACCCTATCTCAAAAAAAACTCATCACAAAAAAAGGGCTGGTGGAGTGGCCCAAGGTGTAGGCCCTGAGTTCAAATCCAAGTAATGCAGGGAAAAAAAAAAAAGCAAAACCAAAACACAGAGCACATCCAGGGAAGTCCACTCTGATGCGTGGGGCAGCTGCACTGAGGAGCAGAACCAGGAGATGGAGACCTCAGAGGGAAGTTGCACAGCAGACAGACCCACGGCTGGGACAGGACCAACCCTTACGATGGACGCCACTGTGAGGGCAGGCATTACCACCCTTACTGCACTTAGCGTAAGCAAGGAGCACTTAACTCTCACACCCAGGAGATAGCTGACTGTCATTGTCCCCAAGCACAAGTGGGGAGACAGAGGTGGGGGGAGTCCAATAACCAGCCCAAGGTGTCATAACTGCAGGGAGTCACGGCCTGAGCCCAGCAGTCTGGGCCCCACTTCTGGCTCCCTTCACCACTGGCGTGGCATTGGACGAGCAGTTAAACCAGCGCCTCCTTCCCAGGCCCCCGTGAACACGGGGGAAAGTGGCCTGGGCGTCAGATGGGCGAGAGAAACCACAGCCAGAGGGTCTGGGGGCTGTAAGCAGACAAGGTCACATGCCATGTACCTTGTAACCCAGGATGAGCCCGTTCTGGTCTTGCTCGGGGACTGAACTCCATGTCAGCAGAATCTGTGTTGAGCTGACGGCCTCTGCGGACACGTTGACAGGGGCAGCTGAAGGAACTACAAAAAAACAAAAACAAAAACAAAAACCCAGAAGTGTATGGACTTTTAAAAATAAAGGCCTAATTTTCACCCAAATCGTGGAGCTGTCCTTGAAGCAGCAATGTGTTCTGAGCATTTTCGCAGGGGTCAGATTAAACCTGCAGGAGAATAACAGCCATGCAAATCTCTTTCATAGAACAACAAATTCCATAAATCCTGGGCACCGAGAGCTCAATTTTACCTGAGTCCAGCCAGCAAGAAAATATGCTCGCTCTGTGGAATGGCAGGCTTTTAAAAAAATTTCACCTCAAATAAGAAACCCTCACTTTCCTACAGAGCCCACCAGCTTAGTGACTGACGCCTCTGAACCCGCACTCAGCGAGGGAGACGGGGTGGTCAGGCAGAAGGGGTGGCATTAGGATGGTCACAGACAGGCAGTCGCCATGTCTGTGCTTGGTGCCCTCGCACTCCTAGGAGAACTGAATCTGCACAGTGACCCAGCGAGGCAGGAATCGGTACCCCACCTCTTTTTTTTTATTTTGTAAGGAGACCAGCCCTGTGGTCCTTGCATCTCAGCAGGAAGCTAATCCCCTATTTTCATGCAGAGCCTCCCATCTACACTGCGAGGGAACTAATTGTCTTGATATGTGTGCCAGGATTCCGAAAGGCTTGTGTCCAAAGACAACAGTAAAGCCTTTAAAACAAGGACTTTATATGCTAGATAATCTCATTTACTGTGATCATTTTCTTCTGGGTCATTTGCACTTCACAGGCTGTTTAGACAGCAAGCGATGCAGCCAGCCAGGTCTCCAGGCAGGCCGGAGGACGGCCAGGCCTCCAGCAAAGGGCAGAGGGCGGGAGACACTGCTCCACCTGGGCCTAAGGGGCTCTGTGGGGGTGAAGGAGGGGCACAGGACAGGGGCTGTCCCATGGGGAGACACTAAGCCTGGGGGTCAGGGTGGCACCCCGCTCTGCCTTCTCTCCCCACCCACAGTGATCTTTCCAGAAGGGAAATCATGGCAGGTGTCCTGGAAGGGTCAAGACCCAGGCTGCCCCCCACTCCACTCCAAGAAGGGCCCGTTTCCCCATCCTGATGGCCCTGGAGGCCATGTCTCTCCCTTCCCTCATAGCTACATGGAGGACCTCTCCTGAGTGCTTGGCCATGGGTCACAGGTCGGTGATGTCATCCAAAAGCTATGACAGATGCCTGTTACCCCTGCCAGGATAAACCCGGGTACTCCTTACGTTGTGGATGGAGATAACTCCTGTCACCTCAAATGGTGGGTGAAACTTCTCCCCAGTAATCCATCCAATCGATGAAATAATGAGGATTTATATGAGCTGCATGTGTCACAGAGGAAGACCAGGTATAGTTTTTGTTGTTGTTGTGGGACTGGGATTTGAACCCAGGGCTTTGTGCTTGCTAGGCAGGCACTGTACCACGTGAGCTACACCCCCCTGCCCCTTTTGCTCTGGTTATTTTGGAGCTGGGGTCTTGCCTTTTGCCCAGGCTGATCTGGACAGCTGTCCTCCTATTTTGTTCTTCCTACCCTCACTGGGATGACAGGTGTACACCACAGCACCCAGCTGTTGTGTGAGATGGGGTCTCATGAACTTTCTGCCCTGGCTGGCATTACACCGCCATCCTCCCCATCTCAGCCTCCCAAGCAGGGGAGGTATTGCAGGCGTGAGCCCCTGGCACCTGGCTCTATGTACAGTTTTACATTTACTCAGCTCTCAGAAGGAAGAGGTTTGATCCTGGCCCCTGGGCCTGGTCCCAGCTGCCTTCAGTTTGTGCCTCACTCAGGCTCCTTGGGCATGGAGGGGTTCCCACTGGAAGCCAAAAGTGCCACCATGGCTGTGGCCAGGAAATGACCTCTGCACATGCCAGGACAGCGAACCAACTGTGAATTAAAGGAGTCACCATCATTAGAGGAAATGTAAATTGTCCGACTTTTTAAACGATAACACTTGCATATGTCCCCACGTTAGTGCCATGTTCTGAAAACTCTGTCCTTGTCTGTAAAAAGAGAGGCCATCGTCACAGCAACCCATCGGGTCCAGCTCTGGGATGGAAACTGTTTCCTCCAGGCCAAGCTTTGAAACCCTAACTGTCCAGTTCTCACTGCAGTCCAGCAAATCACAGCCGGTCATGTGTGCATCCATTTACTGGAGGATGGGGCCATGTCCCCAGAGGACCAGGGCAACCCGGTGACATCCACAACTTGGGCAAGAAGAGAGCCAGGTGGGGCTCGTCCAGTGGGAAAGGGCAGAGTTCAGGCTTAAAGTTCAATCCTGACGCCAAAATCTGCTGGATGGTTACAAGGATGGCTTTTATGACTTGAAAAAGAAAACTCTTACCCCTCAACTATTTTGAGGTGCATCTGATTTCTTTTCCAATCTCACAGCTCAGGTTTTGAGACGTTCTTACATTCTCTTTCCATAAAAAAAAAAAACAAACCAAGAACAAAGCTCCTCCTTTCTTCCTGACCTCTCTCTGGCAGCAGTTCCTGCGAGAAGGTTCACTGCCGCTCCTCGTGGGGTCTCTGGATTTTTAACGCCTTGTCACAGTCCATGTTAGGCCACACTTCAAAGCAGAAGCTTCACTTAATGCAGCTCTGTGCTTCCAGCCTCTTTTTCAGCGCTTCTGTTTTGATGGACAGGAGGCATTTTGGACACAGGTCAGTGGCTTCCTTCTCCTCCTCGCCCCATGGGTCCAGCTCCACCATTCAGCCCCTGTGACTCCGTCACCTCCTTCTCCCCTACAATGCCTGGCAGGATGGACCTCTCTGTGTCCTGCATTAGTGGGACCAGGTGTGTGGTGCGTGGAGGAGCAATCAGTGCCCCCCAGAGGAACGATCAACCCAAGAGGGATCTCGAAGAGCCCATTTTGCCTGCACTACGGAAGTCTGAAACCTGGGCCAGGTGTGGTGGTGCACGTCTGTAATCCCAGCCGCTCAGAAGGTGGAGGTAGGGAGGATCTCATCTGGCCAGGGCAAAGTTATTGAGACCTTATCTGAAAATCAAACTAAAGCACAAAGGGTTGAGGGCACAGCTCAGGTGGCACTTGCTAGGCAAGCGTGAGGCTTTGTAGTCAAACACCAGTATCACAAAAAAAGTTTAAAATCTGAATTGTCCACATCTTGAAACAAAAGATCAATAACCCAATTATTCAATTCACGACGCAAACAGTTGAATCCAAACTTCCTCCCAGAAGGTGTGGCACATCAGAGCTTCTGTGACTGCCGGCTGTAAAAAGTAAGGGGATTTTCTGGCAGCAGAAGTGTCCAGAGCAGAAGGGACAGACGAGCGTCACTTGCAGGCAGAGTCGCTCTAGTCAGAAAGCTTCTCAGCGTGACGACGAGCACCGCCACGCTGCAGATCCGCGTGTCACCGTGGCTTCCCCTCCACCCCGCCACGGTGCTCCACAATCAAACCCTCTTCCTCGGTATCCACTAACCCACAGAGACAAACGGGGTGCTGGGGGAGCCCTGGGCCGCCGGGTCAGGGACACTTCAAGGACGTCTGAGGAGAAGAAAGCCAGAAGAAAAACCTGGTCCCCAGCTCCTGATTCTGGGGACCAGGTTCCCACAGCCGCAGGCCTGGCTGGTCCAGAAGCCACCGACCCAGGTTACACTGTGGTGGAGAGCGCTCTCAGAAGTGCTGGCTTTGAGACGGTGTCCCCTATCATCAACTGCCGGCGACCTTGCTTTGCCTTCCCCCTGCTCCCGGCCATCTTTCTAAAAACTGTTGTCTTAATCGTTAAGGTTTTAGGAACTTGTCTTAATAATTTGGGACTTTAGTAAAAAAAATTTTATCTGGGATACTGAGGTTTGAACTCAGGGCCTTCACCCTGAGTCACTCCACCAGCCCTATTTTTGTGATGGGTTTTTCGAGATGGGGTCTCACAAACTATCTGCCTGGGCTGGCTTTGAACCATGATCCTCCTGACCTCTGCCTCCTGAGTAGCTGGGATTACAGGCGTGAACCTGGTACCTGGCTTTGTTTTGTTTTTTTAAGAAACGGTCTTGCTATGTAGCCCAGCATGGCCTCAAGCTCACAATCTTCCTGCCTCAGCCTCCCCAGTGCTGAGATTACAGGTGTGTGCCACCATGCCTGGCAAGACTTGAATAATTTTAAATGTACTTGTTACATGCTTTATGTATTTTAAAGCAACTAGGACATCGACTCTCTCTCTCAAGCTGCTGGTGTTTACTCAGATGATTTTCTTACGTGCTTGATATAATCGTGATTTATCATAAAAAGGACTTGATTTTTATTTTGGACAATTTGGCTGTGACGAAGTCTGTGTTTTCTTTTCTTATCTGCCCAGAAGGCCTGGCCCAGAACCATGTTTCTTTTGTTTGGGTTTTTGTTTTTTTCTGTTTCGTAGGACAGCCCACTCCTTTGCTGGTGTTTAACAAGTGACGATTTCTGTTTTCCTCACAACGAGAGCATTCTGTGGGTGGGGAGGACAAGCTTCAGGACTTGCGGCCATATGCAAAGTGCACAATCTATCAGCCACACTTAGCATTAATCCACGGAAGCCTGACCTTCTTTTAAACAAGATTTGTTGCCAGGCGCCGGTGCTCAGGCCTGTAATCTCAGCTACTCAGGAGGCCAAGATCAGAAGGATTGTGGTTCGAAGCCAGCCCGGACAAATAGTTCTCAAGACCCAATCTCGAAAACACCCAACATAAAACAGGGCTGGTGGAGTGGCTCAAGGTGAAGGCCCCGAGTTCAAACCCCGGTACCACAAGAAAAAAGGAAAAAAAAAAGATTTGTTGTTAGTCACCTATTTATTTATAGAGTTTTGATTGAACTCGGAGCCTCATGCTTACTTAACCCTTGAGCTCGTCCTTTTTGCTTTTGGTTTGTTTTTCAGATAGGGTCTTACACTTTAATCAGCATGGGCTTCAGACCTTGATCCTCCTACCTCTGCCTCCAGGGTAGCTGGGATTACAGGCGTGCACCACCATGTCTGGATGGAGTGACTTTCTATGTTTTCAGAGTTGTGCGACCACTTTCATAAGGAGCTTCGGGACATTTCATCACCCCAAAAGGAACCCTGTGCCCCTCACCAACCACTACACCATCCCTCCCAAGTACTTCCCAGACCTACGTCACCAGGAAGCCACTCCCCGCAGCCATAGATCTGCTTGTGCTACAAGACATTTCAGGTAAGTGAGAGCACGTGTTGTTAGATGGTCTTTTGTGTCTTGAGTCTTTCACTCAGCATAACGTCAAGACTCATCCATATGGCAGTGTGCAGGAATTCCACTGTTTTTGGTGGCACTGGGATTTGAACTCAGGGCCTCACGCTTGCTAGGCAGGCGCTCTATTGCTGAGTTAGCCTTCGTATGGACACACACCCTGCCACGTATCCATCCACCAACCCATGGACGGCTGGGAGCCTCCCGCCTGGGGTGACGATAAGCAGCGCTGCCCCGAGCACTGACAGACGAGTTTTGGCGTGCAGCGGAGTTGCTGATTCGTGCTCAGTCTGTTTTTTCTTTTGAGCAGAAGTAACTGTTTTTGCCAAGTGGCTGCATGACTTCCCCCACCGGCAGTGGGTGGGGTGCCAGGCTCCACGTCCCCCACCAAACCCTGCAGTTTCTGCCGCTGTATTTACTGCCCGCCGGGGCCAGAGGCGACACGGCTTGGTTTTCATTCGCCCTTCCTGAGTGGCCATCGGTCACCACTTGTCTGTCTCTGGAGAAAAATATCTATCTGGTTTTATTTGGATGATTTCTCATTTCATCGTGAAGTAACAGATCTTTCTATATTCTGAATCAAACTCTCTTCTTAGGCATAAGTTTTGGAAACTTTTTCTTCCAGTTGGGGTTTTAAAATTTTCTTTTTCGGTATGATAGACACTTTTTGAAATACAAGCACTTTCGTTCTCATAAAGCCTGATTAATCTACTTTTTTTTCTTTTGCCGCTTGTGCTTTTGGATTCTGGAACCAAATTCTTCTCTCTTTTGCTGGGAGTTTTGGAACCCGTGTAGTGCACACTCAGACCCCAATCTTGAATGCATAGGACTCGGGTCGTCTGTTGTCCCATCCAGTCCAGGCAGACACAGACGACCCGGGGGCAGGGTTTTTAGTCTCTCTGGAAAGAGCCTTCCTTCGCCCAGGAGCAGAGGTCCTGCTCCCACCTTCCATGGGTTCAAGGCTGACCCCCTGTCCCTGAGTTCTAAGACATCCAGGATGGATCCAGGCCACTCCACAGCACTTACGCCCAGCGTGCGGTACCCCTGCAGCCCCCAGCAGGTACAGATTTTACTGTTTTCCTTCTTAGCACATCAACCAGTATACAATCTAAAAAGTATACTTTATCCACAAATTTATAATTGGAGAAATGCTTTTAAAAGAAATATTTTATTGGTCTGACTATCATCAGATTTAGAACTATGGCTTAAAATTTCTTAAGTTCTTTTCTTTGTCACCAAGATTCTGATATTGAAGAAAATAGAGCTTTCTTAAATTCTTTTCTTTGTCACAAAAATTCAGATATCAAAAGAGCTTTGAAAACCCACAAGAGAGACCTTATTTCAACAAGAAGAATTCCACTACTCAGAAGGTGAGGGTCGTAGATTGCAGTGTGAAGCCAGCGTGGGCAAAAGTACGAGGCCCTAACTGAAAAATAACCAAAGCAAGAAGGGCTGTGGCTGTGGCTCAGGTGGTAGAGCACCTGCCCGGCAAGTACAAGGCCCTGAGTTCAAATCCCAGTGCCACCAAAACCCCCCTGCCAAAAACAAAAAATAGAACCAACCAATCAAAAACCCTCCATAATTAACCAGCTGGGTTTAGAGTGTCTCCTCTTTCCTCTCTGCCACTCTACAGGCTGAAGAAGGCCCTGACTTGCTTTGGCAACCCCTCTCCCATCGCCAGGCATCTTGGAAGCCATCAAGGTCATCATGATGGTGACTCTTCCTTGGCTGTCACTGGTGGGGTTCTGTCTTCACACACTGCACCATTTCTGTGTCCCCCGTTACTGTTTAATTGTCCTCCCTCCCCCTTGTCGCCATGGTCCAGGAGAAGACAGGAAAGGGTCTGTGACTGAGAGAGGACAGAGTCAGGCCGGCCTAGAACCCTGAGCACAGGCTGATAAGGGCAGGCTCCGCACTGGCTGTGCGGGTCTGTGGGGAAAGAATGGGAAATTTATTGTGGGAGGGCGTTCCCAAACCTTTCCACAGTGACACACAGGAGGAGGGACTTACACGTACACTGGGACACCCTGAGCGTGCTAAGCAGGGCCACACCTGCCAGCAGGGTGCAGAGTCCCCACCCCCGTTAGTCACCGCAGGCACACTGTGCTTTGGCACACAGGGACCTGTCCAGCACACACAATGTCCCTGTTGTCACTGGATAACACGGTAGTGAGGTAGCTGAGGGGTTGGTACAGTCAGCAGGGCACGGCAGATCTCACAGTCCATGTCCCCTCTCTGATTCTCCTCCTTGGCCTCAGTGCCACCTGGGCACTGCCTTTCTGGTTTTTCATGTCCCTCTTGTGAGCTCGCGTGGCCAGTACTGGAGGCCACAGCCTAGGTGTTTAACCTCTTCATCTTTTCTTTTTTTTTTGGTGGTGCTGGGATTTGAATTCAGGGCCTAAACCTTGAACCACTCCACCAGTCCTATTTTGTGATGGTGTTTTCGAGATAGGTCTCTAGACCTATTTGCCCAGGGCTGGCCTTGAGCCTGGCTCCCCTCCATCATCTTGAGTCCAGCTGCCTCCAAAGCCGCCTCCTGCCATGTGAACAAATGGCCCCTGGCCAACTGCGTCCGTCCCCACCCCTCCCCAAGCTGGGTTGTTAGACTTTTCTTTAAGGCACTGACATGCATTTGGCCTTCCTTTGTTTGTCCTCCTACACACTTTCCACCAAAGTCACTCTGAATTCTAACTCTACCTGCTAAGGCAGGTCTTGACATTTAAAAAATTTGCCTCATTAATTTTACTATTTAAACCCCCACCCCACCCCAGGAGACTCTCGCCGTGGTGTCTCCGCAGGGAGACAGAAGCAGAGAAGCTGTAGGACGAGAGGACTCCAGATGGAAACAGCTGTCGGTGAGCACCACAGCCCCTTGACCCCCTCCTGTCCCCCTCCTCAGCCTGAAGAGTGGCCTCTCTGATGTGTCCCTTTGGAGGTGCACAGTGGGCTCAGGACACAGAGCTGGGCAAGACAGATGGGTTTCCCCTTCACACGCCAGCGAGAGCACGGACAACTGTGTTCCACGTCAGTGAGGAAAGTGGACGGAGGGCTGCCTGGAGGGAGCAGAGGAGGTGTGGGCCTCTGGCCACTGAGCCGGCCACTGCCTCGGCCTTTCATGGCTCCCCTCCCCAGTGTGTGGACACAGGTCAGGTTTGCTAGTGTGCTCCAATTGTCTTGGCTTGCCTGGAATCAACAGCCCTTCAATGTGTCAAGTCCACGCTGTGACATCTGCAGGAAGATGGGGAGCAACGGCCAGTTCTTCCTTTTCAGAGCCAAACCTAGCTAACGTGGACGGGGAGAAGGCTGGCCACACCTCGGCGTGTCTCTAGAGCGTGTGCTGCGCTGTCCACTTGTGTCTAGAAACTCAGATGAGGCTGGGAAGGTCAGTCCAACCCTGAGACTGGCCCTACATGGTCCAGAAAGCCTAGCAGGTTAGGGGGACGTGCTTGTCACCATCATACTGTCACAGAGGCTACTCAGGGTGAACCAAAAACACTTTTCCTTTTCTCCCTGGCATTTAGTGATACCAGGAAGTGGGGTCTGAGGGAGAGAGCAGACCATCAGGCGTCTCTAGACAGTTTTTCTCATTCCCCAGAAGGCGAAGTGACCAGTGATTACTCACAGGATAGCTGAGCCTGGGTCCCTGAGTCACCTCACGGAGAGCCACCCATGGGACAGGAGCACCCATCTCATACCCACCGCGAGTGGGAAACCAACACGGAGCGAAAAGCGCTTGACCTCAGAGGATGCACTTGTCACAGCAGCTAGACGGCTGACCATACTGACAGCATTCAGCTCCCAGGAGTGACCTGGACGTGGGACTTCCCCTAGCGTCTCCACACACTCTTGTTTTTCATTATTCATGGTGAAAATCATCTCTAACTTAAAACAAGTCATAAGTGTCCTAATTCTGTTAGAATTTTATCACCACCTTCAAATAAATGGTGTGGGGCCCCGGGGAGATTTTGCTCGAATCTCATCAAGGGTGGCCTAACCTGAGCATGTCAACTGAGACAGGAGTGGGACAGCCACGAGCCCGGGGTTTGCCTGGGACCTGCACGGCCTCCCTCTCACCTGACTCCCGCGTCCGGCCCCGCACCAGCTCGCTCCAGGGCCCGGCCCCGATGGCGTTGAAGGCCTGCATCTGCAGCTCGTACTCCGTCCACTCCTCCAGCTCCTCCACGGTCAGCTCTCGCTCCAGCCGGTCGTTGACGACTTGGCTCAGCACCCAAGACGGGAGGTCTGAGCGCCAGTACCTCACCCTGTAGCCCACGGACTCGGGGTTCCCGTTGTACTGGGAGTCGGGCAGCGGCTGCCAAGGAACGACAGACAGGCTGACATCTTAAAAATGCCCCTTTCAAAGGCCTCAAAGGGGGGCCCCGTCTTATGGGGCCAAGTTTACAGAAAGCGTCTTGGGGGTGAAACACAACTTTCTATTTTTGCCTGAAACTTTTCTTCTGTTAATTAAACCAAACTCTGTCAGTAACTTTGGCTGGATATAAATTCTTTTAATCCAGTTTGGCTTAATTTTGTGGAGAAATGTTCTGATTAAACACCAGGCTGACTCTCTTACAAACACTAAGTACTGGCTCCATGTTGACCGAGCTTAAGGACTTAGAGGCGCTGCACGCAGCACCATCCGGGTCACCCTGCAGAGCAGGCCCCAGGTCCAAGTGAGCTGTGCTAGTTAAGGAGGAACTCCAGGCTGTGAGATCCTGAGTTAATCTACACTGCAGTACTTTTTGGTTTAACGATGGGATTGGCTTCGGGGAGGACAAAAGGCTGGGCTAGAAAAGCTGCTAAGCGCTGGACTCCCAGGTGAGCCTGGCCTCATCACCTGGTGCCTCTCCCTGGGCCCCCAACTCACCACCCAGCGCAGCCGCAGGCTGGTCTCGCTGGCCGTTCGGACGGTGATGCTGGTCGGTGCCACGTCCGGGGGGGCCTGCAGGGTCTGGATGACCCGGGAGGACTGGCTGAAGGGGCTCGGACCGACGACATTCACCTGACGCATCCGAAATCTGGAGGTGAGCCATCGGTGATTGAGTGAGTGGTACAAGCAACAAAGCCAAACGCCCAGGCCCGAGGTCGGGGTCGGCTCAGGTGGACGTCCACCGCGTGCACATTTCCTATGCCGCCTTTGTCCTGAAAACCCTTCAAGTCTGCTCTCTTGCAAGCCACTGACCTAAATTCCCAGGGGTCCTGAGGCAGAACAGGGACGTGCGGGCTGGCCAGCACGGGGTGAAGACTGACCTGCTAAGAGGTCATAAAAGACCTGCGTGGGACAGGCCCCAAGTCCCACTAGGACGGCCCCCTCAGGAGGCCTCTGGTTGGGAATGTCCTCGGAACCCCCTTTCTGTGGTCAGCTCAGTGACTGCTGCATCCTGATCAAGGAAAATTGTTCACCCTGAAGGAAAACCCCCAAAACTAGGGGTGCCCGCTGAGGGCTGAGAGCCTGTCCTCGGATGTCCTTTTGAGACCCCCCACCTGAAGTGTCACACACGTGGACCACATCCCCTGCGTCACCCTAACAGACGGCATTATGGGTAGGGACACGCACAGTCAAAAATAAGTGATGTGACATCCTCTTGTCAATCAAAGGAGAGGGGCACCCCTCCCCCTCCCCGTTCAGCCCAGCTTTGTCCTCGAGTGACAACGCTGACAGGAGAACTGGGCCTTGGCCTCGCCATCACTCTGCACCTTGCTCACAACTGCCGTGCGTCTCGTCCAGTTCTTTGTTCAACTCACCAAGAGTGAGATGAACTCTCTCTCAGCCGTGAGAGCCCAGACCCCCCGGATCGTGTCAGAATCCTAATGTGATGGGGAAGATGTCCAGAAAGCTGTGTGACCAGTTACCACTGGCTGACTCCAGTTTAGGGAATTTAGTGTCACAATGCCACAACCAAAAGAGTTTTGAAAGCCCAGTGTCCCCATTTTCTGTTGGTTCAGGAAGAGGGCAATGACACTGAACATCACCCTGGCATCCTGACGCCATACGTAACCAGGAGGCTCCACAGTGCTCTTTAAGGTCTGGGGGCAGTTTTGGGGTCTGTGTCTTCTCTGCCTGTAACTGGAGTTATCCGAGCTGATTTGCATAGAACAAAAACCCCAGGCACGGGCGCACACACGTCTATTGCAGTGTCCCAAAACGTATGTGAATTTGAGACACACTGACCTCTCACGGTTTCTCTTCTCTGTGATAATTACACAGCCTCAGCTAATGTCACACCCCAAGTCTTGGATTCGTCTGCTCTAAACTTAGGAAGGATGCTAACTCACACAGAAACTAAAACATCTTATTATTATTTTTTTAATTAAAAAAAAAACCCCGTTAACTTTGGTATTACGCTGGAAAAAAATGCTCTTTGCAAAGATGTGATTTCACCTTTACTCCCTGAATTGGTAACTTATATTCTTTCATCCCCGAGCTCATGAAATGTATCCAGCCTGACAGGAAGATGACATCAAGCCCCCCACCTGGTGATAACCGGAAGCTGGCTCCTCCGGTCATCTTACGGGAAGTTACAGCATCACTAATGGCTCGTGATCACCCTTCCCTTTGTAGAAGGCCAAGGATTTACTGCCTGGATAAGTTTCAGGATCCAGGAGCGAAAGGTAAGAGCTTGGTTAGTGACATGGGCAGCTCCGGGGTCCTGGGAGGGGAAAGCAGGCAGGAGGGCATTCTTGGGATTTGTTTTGTTTGCACAGAGCCTGCTAACGTCCCAAAAGAACCAGCCACCTCTCGGGGCCTGATGGTCTTGGCTGTTATGCAGAAAGCACTAGAGGGCCTTTTCTATAGGGTGCTTTTCTGGAAGACATCTGACCAAGCTTCCCTGGGGCAACACCACCGTGTGTGCATCTGGCTTGCTCCGTCCTCCAGGCTCTGATTAACCTGTGACAACAGGGTTGGGTACTGCTGACACACCCCCTCGTGGCGGCTTGTCACCTGCTCTTCTCACCTGTAGTGAGTGTATGGCGTGAGGTTTGGGATCTCCAGCATCTGGGCATCAGGCTCGTTCTCCTCCTCGTAGAGGCTGACCCACTCCTCCTCATCCCCGATGGCCCCAACCTGTGGAAAGGGATCCTGAGCTGGGCTGGGCAGGGACTGAGGCTGCCCAGTACCCTGTGCATGGCGGGCTGGTCTCAGCCTCTGCTGCCCACCCTTGGGATCAGTTGGGTCCTGCACACACCTCCCTCATGCCGTGGAGATACAAGTCCTCGGTATTTCCACCTTTGAGTCTGGGTGGTTTAGTTCAAAGGTCACTGGGTCCTAGGAGGGCTGGACTTGGGGCTCAGAGGCCAGGGGTGATGAAGAGGACTGCCACACCACTCTGTCCTTCCTCCCTCCTGACAGGTTAGGACTCAGAGGGGAGGACTGGGCCAGGAGCCCATGGTGAGCAGTGATGGCACCATGGTCACAGGTTTCCTCACCAGGGCCCAGAGCTGTTTCCAACACATACCAATCTGGGGGACTCAGTCCATCTCCTCGACCCCCTTTCTGCCCCAAACACACACGGGGACAACACAGCTGGCCCCTGGCACAAGGAGGGCTTTTATGCAGGGAAGGATGAAACTTCTGTCCTGTGAACCAGACCCAGGAGATCCCATTCCTTCACGAATTTAAAGAGTTGCCCTGTTCACCTCTGCTAACGGGGCCCCTTTGGGGTGTCCTTTGCTCTCCTCCCCCTCCCACCAGTGTCCACCTCTCCCGATACCCGGTCTGTGGACTCCATGCCCCTCTGGCTACTCAGGTGGTCTTTCAATTCCCCACCTGCCCCAGCCTGGCCTCAGCCACACCTCTTGCTCTAAACCAAGCCATACCTGACACTGAGCCATCACCGCCTGCCGTGGCTTTCCCTTCTGCCCTACCCCTCCCTCCACCTTGGAACACCACAACCACAGAGTTCGGGGGACCCTGCAGCCTCAGGCCAGCTGGGAATCCCAGGAATTCCTCTAAGCAGACAGTGTATCCCCATCCCTGCTGCAGGAACAGCCTGGGCCTCAGGTGGCCATGTGGTCCTGGGGACACAGGGGACACAGACAGAGGGCAGACAATGAGCACAGAAGTCAGGCCAGGTGAAACAGGGTGGCTGAGCTGGGATCAGCCAGGACCGTGGCAGTTAGCTCTTCCTAAGTGACTTAAATGACAGAATAGGAACCATGCTCACTAAGTGCACAGAGGAAACTGGGTTGACAGGTGGCCAAGTCAGGGAGGGTGGCCTGAGGGTGGCTGACCATGGTCAGCTGGAGAAAATGACAGAAAGGACGAGGAGGAGGCAGTAAACACCGGGGCTGGCGGAAGCCTCCTGGAGAAGCGTGACAGCAAAGCAGAGAGGCCTACAGGCTCCAAACTAAACGCAGGAAGGCAGCCAGCCGGTGGTTCCTCACCTGTGTAGTTGCTATAGGAACCAGAGTTTCTAGTGGAACTGGAAACAGGGAGTCCAGCCCACACCTGTTTGCAGTGTTCTGTGCACCACAGCCGAGGTGGGAACAAGGTACATGTCCACTGATGGATGGGCAAGTCATGCTCTGTCTGCACAGAGGAGTATTACACAGCCACGAAGAGGAGCAAGGCACTGATGTGCGCTATCTTGAGCTGCATGAAAGCAGCCAGGTCCAGTGTCCACATGATGTAAGATTCTCCTCTACGAAGTATCCAGAAAGGGCGTAATTTCATGTCAATTAAAACAGAAACATTAAAATAAAATGTGGACCACTGGCCAAAACCACGTGGTGGAGAGAGACTTGGAGGTCAGCGTGGGTAACGAGCAGCCAGGGTTCTGTGAGGCAGCCGGGCAGCAGAAATGGGGCCGGGGGCTGAGAAGGACACTGTCGTCTGCGTGGCTGGAGGAGGGGAGCGTGCCCTTGAACACACGGCCAGCTCTCAGCGCTGTGGTGGCCCGCAGGAGTCCAGCCCGTGGCTCCACCACCTGGGCTCAGAGCAAGGGCGCTCATGGGCTTTTTGTGCCTTTGCCCCTCTGTGCTTGAGTGAGGGCAAAACAGAAGCGTGGTGAGTTTAAATTATCCTCCAAGACCTGCGGTGTGACTGTGGCCACTCGCTTGGCTTTCTCTGTCCAGTCTGTCCTCCACCCCAAATGAAGGCGGGGTCCTGGGTGTTGGTGCCCCAAGCACTCCTGCTTTCTTTTGCCTTGACGGTGGACTCCATCTGTCTGTCTGTCTTGCTGGCTGAGAGGCACTCACCCAGTCCTGCGAGCTTCCCTGACTGTGGACAGTGGCCGCTGAGACACCAGGTGAGCACCTACGCCCACCTACACCCTTGGCTGTGAGAGCTGCTGATCAGGGCTGCAGCTCTGGGATTCAAGGCCGGCCCACCCATGTAGCAAGATTTGGGATTCTACTCAGAGAACTAACAAGAGAGAGAGAGAAGAGAGAGAGAGAGAGAGAGAGAGAGAGAGAGCAGGCCGTGAGGCTAATCCAGTTCCTCTGAGCACACAGGACACAGGACCTGCCACTCGCTCAGCAAAGACCCCGGGAACAGCAGAGGCTCTGTCAGGCCTAAGGTCTCCCCGGGTCCTCCCCTGCAGGGGGGCCTTGGAGGCCAGGGGTCTCTCCTTTCATAGTCCCCTATCACCACTGTCCCCTGAACATCCCCTAGGCGGGGAGTGGTTGGTCAAGGGCAGGGCTTCTGCTCTGCCCAGCATGGACAACAGTCCCAGGGCTAGGACCAAATGGATCAGGACAGAACTGTCAGTCTCTGCCAACCCCGCTTTTTGCTCAGCGGGGCCAGATCACTGACAGGCCAGGTGGGCACCACCTGCCTCTTTCCCTGAAATCCTCCTCTGTCATCACCTAAAGCAACATCACATGGTCTCAAACACCTGTCCTCTCATAGATGCTCTCTGTCCCTCTACATGTGTCTGTTCCTCCTGCCTTCTCTAAGTAACTGCCAGCACCTTTGTCCCTTGCCACGTCCTCAACCTGGGCTATCAGCCATCTTTTACCTACTCTGATACGGTGCCAGTCATAGTGACCGAAGTCATTTGAATACAGTGTGTCACATGGTTATTTTACTGCTGTGAAGGAGAATATGAGTCAGGGTACATACAGTCCACAGAAGAAGGAATGCCCAAGATCACAAACGTAGAAAGAAAAGTAGTTATAGGAGCAGTGCAACCTTAACCTGTCACTTAGCAACTTTCAAGCTTCACAAGTTAGCATCAAATATCACAGGAACAGGGCCAATCAACAAACAGTAAGTCATACACAGAACACATGCAGGCAGAGTACCACACAAGGCTCCGCCATTCTGTCAGCACGCTCTGGCCACAGGTCAAATCCGGCCCCCATCTTGTCTTTGTTAATAAAGCTTTATTGGAATGCACTGCGCTCACAGCTCGTGGCTGCTTTCTGCCTCCACAGCATCTCCACACTGCTGCAACTGAGACCATCTGGCCGGGACAGCAGGAAGGATTTACCTGTGGCCCTTTGCAGGGACTGCGCCAACCCTGCTCGAGAGCGACCCCGGGAGGCGCGAGGCGAACCACCTGTGCGTCGCTTCAGGTCACCTGCCAGCTCAGCTGTTAGTGTAGCTCCAGCTACAGGCTAAGCCTGGTGCTCAGCCCTGTGTGCTTGACACGCACAAAAATACAAATGGCCTCACGAGCAATTTAAAGTCAGCATTGAACGCGGGCGTGCTGGCGTGCTGCTCCAAGGGCGAATGATTCTGGAGACATCACTTCACTTACAGACCTGCTGGGAGAGTCTTGTATTTCCATGGCGAAAGGTTTACATCTTCAAAGGGGTGAGGACTGTTTAATCCTCCCCAAGCTCCTCTGACTCCCTTGTTACCGCTCCAGACCATCAGGACGGAATGTCCTACAAGTGGCTGGCCACTCACTAACAATGCAGGGGACTTTTAAAAAGACAAAACAAATCTAACCTCCCAGGGGAGCTGGGGTGCTAACGGATCTCACCCCCGCCTTCTGTTATAGCTAAAAGCAGCCTCTCGCCATGCTTACTACCGGTGAAATGCACACATTTCAAAGCCACCAGGCAGGGTCCCTCAGTGAATTCGCCATGGGGGTGCTGCCCACCACGTTCCCCCACGGAGGGCGAATGGCTCACCTGCTCCCACCTCTAGCCTGTATTTGGCACCAGCTGGCCAGGGCATCTCGTAATAACTGGGGGAGTGTGGCCTGCCACCGGTGCCAAGTGCGCTTTTAAATGAGAAGAGGAGTGCTGCACACCAGCAAAGCAGTTTGGCTCAGGTGGGCCTCTGGGAAGTCTTGGGGGGACCTGGTGCCCCAGACAGGATCTCAAATACTCCTGCTGCGAGGTTCTGGTGGAGCTCAGCTCCCCAGAGGCCAGGGGACGATCGCGGACCTGGCCCGCAAGGTGGTTGTCCTGCAGAAGGAGAGGGACCAGCTATGCGGGAGGGGAGAGGGCGGAAGAAGCTGAGGACAGGGGAGGGGCTCCAGGACTCTGTCGGTGGAAACCTGCCAGAGCACGCGCTCTGCCTGACTGCAGCTCCACCGTCAGCAGGAAAACTTGCACAACCAGCAACTTTGCAATCGCCCAGACCCTCTGCTTCTGAGTGGCGTCGTCCCCGTCCCTGTGCCCGGGCTGGTGCCATGAGGTGTGCTGAAGGGTGTGGGGCACAGGGACAGATGCTTCTGCAGGTGGGCTTTTGGCAAAAGTGCAGCCCAGCAGGAAGGGACCCGAGGCATGGGGCCCAGGCCCCTGAACAGATCTGGGAGCCTGAGACTAATGATTCTCGCTTGCCCTGGATTGATCTGCACTGGCCAGGAGAGGCCTCCCCGGAAACAGCCCCGAACCAACTGCCCAGCCCTGCCCTCCCCTGCTGTCTTTCTAGGTCGTTTCACTTGGACTTCATGTCTTGTTTTACTATTTAATTCTTGTCCTATTGTCAGAAGCAGGGGTGTGAAAGGGGCGCGTGGTTCTGTCCCTCTTCTTTCCAACCTCATCTCTGCTCCTGCCGTCTTTGGCACGGCTGTCTCCCCGTGGTTTCTCCTGCCCCTCCTTTGCCACCCCCAATACTCCAAAATGGCATCCTCCTCTGTCTCCTGGCAACGGTTGCTTCCTGGTGGC